GTGCAGCTTTTCGTGGTCCGTGCCAACGATGCCATCAAGTCTAAGGGCATGCTGGAGCAGGAGCGTGTTCGCTACGGTGGTATGGAGGAGCCGGGCAAGTTCATGTTGCACTCCAGTGAGCTGGAGCGCGCCATTCTGGCCGAGGATCACTCTTTGGGAATTGCCATGAAGTTGTTCAACACTGCCGCCACGCGTCATGCCGATCTCGTCTTCCCTCTCGACACCTACCGCCATCTGATCAACGCCTGTGCAAAGGAGGGCCAAGTCGAAGACATGATCCGAGTGTATGGGCATATGGAGTCCCACAATGTGACCCCGCACGCTTCGATTTTCCCGTCTATGATTGATGCCTTTGCCTCCACGGGGGATCTGCAGAGCGCTGTGGAATGTTACAACGAATACAAGGGTTTGGCGGTTTCGGACGATAACGGAACCTTCTGCATTGTCCAGCGGTTGGATGGTCAGGTGTACGCTGCTCTAGTCCGGGCGTACCTGGTCTGCGGGAAGGAACAGCAAGCTTTGCGATTCCTGGAGCGGATCCAGGCCTCCTTTGAGGAAGTGACCGAGAACCGTGAGGCGCGTCAGCAAGCCTTGGAATCGGCCGTGGTGCAGGATGGGCTGGTGCAGCATGCGCTCACGTCGGGCGAGTACGGGCGGGCGTTGGATCAGGCCAAGACCCGGTTGCGCGATGGAGCCCTCGATCATGCCATGTCCCAGATCTGCATTGCCGCGGCGGATGCGGGTAATCTGCAGACAGCTTCCGAAGCATACGATGCTCTCCCCACCGACATGACCATTCGTCAGAGGCCCGCCGTCTCGATGCTCGCCTTGCATATACGTCAGGGCAATGTGTCAGCTGCCCGGGCTGTGTGGCTCACCCTGAACACCACCGGTCAGGCAACACCGGACATGGTCCAGCCGACTGCCATGTATGCGGTGGCACTCTTGAAGAGTGGTCAGATCGAGGAAGCCTTGGTTCAAGCTCGCAATATGTTTGCTCGTGTCCGCAACGCTTCCGCCGTCGCTGACAACTCTATTCTGAACCCCATCCGTGAACAGATCAACGAAAGCCTTCATCTCATCGGTCGCGTTCTTGTGCAGACAGCGGCTGTCCTCTCTCCTCAAGCTGCCATGTCTCTCCTGTGGTCGATGATCGAGAACGGAGGCCTGATCTCCCCTGTCGCTGAACATGTCGTCGCCAGTCTTGGTCCCATCGGTATCTCTCAACTGAACGCCCGCGATCTCATGCTTGCCCTCCAGGTTCAGGCTGGCATGCTGCTCAACCACAGCGCTATGTTCGATGTGGCTCACCCCATTCGTTTCTCTCACATGCTCGACATTGCTCTGGCTACCGGGTTGCCCATGGATGCTGCCACTACTCGTGTCGTTGACCAGGCCGTCGGCAAGCTGTTCAACAGCCGGCCGGACATGGTCAAGAGATGGCACGACCACTTGGCTTTGACCTCCAGCCCGTCCTCCTTCATGAGCGGCCGCCACTCTCCCAGCTCGGATGTGTCGACGATGACCCCCATGTCCTCCACCGATGATTCGTTTGACCCTTACGCCTACGCCACCGACTTCCGCGGATCGTCGATGATCTCCGACGAGCTGGAGAGCACCAGTGGCAAGCTGGAGGCTCACCTGAACGACGCTCTTTCTCGGGTCCGCAACATGCGCCGCAACGGCCGTCACCCTCGCTACATCACGTACGCCAAGATGATCACGGCCGCTACCAAGTGCAACCGGGTCGATCTGGCCTACGAGATCCTGAGCATGGCTAGACGCGATGTGCCTCTTCTTCCTCAGTACAGTGCCGTCAAGTACGGCTGGGTTTCGATCCTGGATGCCATGGTGGCGTCGTGCCTGACTCTGGGCGACCGCAGCCAAGCCTCCAAGTTCCACCAGGAGCTTCTCGAACTTGGCTCGGCTCCTTCTGCTAACACCTTCGGTCTCTACATCACCACCCTCAAGGAATCCACCAAGACGTTCGACGAAGCCACCGAGGCCTTGAAGATCTTCCACCGCGCCGTGGCCGAGGGCGTGGAGCCCACTTCGTTCCTGTACAACGCGCTCATCGGTAAGCTGGGCAAGGCCCGCCGGATTGATGACTGCCTGCTCTACTTTGCCGAGATGCGCGCCAACGGAGTCCGTCCGACGAGTGTCACCTATGGAACGATCGTCAACGCCCTCTGCCGGGTCAGCGACGAGCGTTTTGCCGAGGAGATGTTCGAGGAGATGGAGTCCATGCCCAACTACAAGCCGCGCCCGGCCCCGTACAACTCGATGATCCAGTACTTCCTCAACACCAAGCGGGACCGTAGCAAGGTTCTGGCCTACTACGAGCGCATGCTGACCCGGAACATCCAACCCACTATGCACACCTACAAGCTGCTCATCGACGCTCACGCCTCTCTGGAGCCCGTGGACATGCCAGCGGCTGAGAAGGTCCTCGAGACCATCAAGGCTGCTGGCCAGCGACCTGATGCCGTCCACTACGCGTCCCTGATCCACGCCAAGGGATGTGTGATGCATGACATGGAAGCCGCTCACGCTGTGTTCAAGTCTGTTGCGGAGGAGCGCAAGGTGCGGATGCAGCCCTGTCTGTACCAAGCTCTTCTGGAGGCTATGGTGGCCAACCACCAGGTCGCACAGACCGAGGAGATCGTCCGGGACATGGCCCGCCGTGGGGTGGAGATGACTGCCTACATTGCCAACACTCTCATCCACGGATGGGCTACGGAGGGCAGCGTGGCTCAGGCTAAAACGGTGTATGACAGCATCGGCATCGAAAAGCGGGAGCCTAGCACCTACGAAGCGATGACCCGGGCCTTCCTGGCCAACAACGACCGGGAGGGGGCCTCGCGCACCGTGCAGGAGATGCTCTCTCGCGGGTATCCCCCGGCTGTGGCCAGCAAGATCGCCGATCTGGTGGGCACGGGAGCAGCTGTCGCTGCTCTGTAGAGTGTTCTCTTACAGTGTTTTTGCTTTACATCCAACAAAAGTTGCCATCCTTTTTGATTTTCGCGGATTACAAAACCTTATATTGACTGAATCACTATCCGGTTTTAATACACCAGGGCTGGATCCCTGCTTTTCGGCTTTTTCCAGCCCGATGGTCTCGGCAGAGGCATTTGGGAGGGCAACTTGTGCTGGCTGATTGATATTGTTGATTTATTTGAGACTTGAAAGCATTTAGCGAACTGGCACAGGCGTTGTGGCAGCATTTGGGATTGGCTTGTATATACCATGATTTGATGTGTTTCGATAGATCCTCTCAGCTCTTTAGTGTCTATATGAATGGACCCCAAAATTTTTCCAGCATATTTTGCGCAGAGATCCCGACTTCGATTTATCCATTGTAAACGTAGATGTAGATGTAGATGTAGATCCATTAGATGGTGACGTTGAGGTGCCGAGCCGGCTGCTGATGTTTTGGCCGCGAATGACTGCATGACCCCGCCGCCCTCCGCATCGCTTCCTCCCACTTCTTTGATCAGCCCATCTTGACTTCTATGACTGACTCCGGCAATTGAGCATCGCACGATCAGTCGATGCATCCTTATCGCCTGCGTCTATCTCTTCATCAATCCCTCCGTCAGCTACAATCAGTCACCTTGTGTCGTCATTACAGCTCCGGCCGTACCTCTACGATGAATCCCGGATCACTGCCCGATGGGCCCAGCCACGAGGCAAAACATCCCAAGAAGCTGATCTGTAGGTTGTCGCAGGATATTACAAGGGATCCTATTACTCACCGCATACCTAGTCGCTCCAGGAGATATCCAGACCACCTCCGAGCCCAAAATCACCCCCACCGAGACGCCCGATCCATCCGCTACAGCCATCGGAGTCACAACAGCACCAGCACCCATCTCTCGTCTCGCCGCAGAAGCCCTTCGCTCGAACACATCGACCCCCGACTCGGTGACTGAAAATGAGATTGTTTCCCACCCTGCCCGCGCTCACCAGTTCGTGAGCAACCCGCCCCTCACCATCTCCCAGATGCACCCGACCAATCCCCTCCACCAATTCCACAACTGGTTCCGCGATCCTCGTCTCCTTCCGTCGTCTGCACCTGAAACCTGCACCCTAGCTACAGCCAGCATGCCCTCGGGCCGTGTGAGCGCCCGTGTTGTATACCTCAAGGAACTGGACGAGCGAGGCTGGGTAGTATACAGTAACTGGGGCAGTCGAGAAGGCAAAGGCGGACAAGTATTCGGCAATCACGCAGACGGCGAGGACACGCTCAGCGCCATGCCCGAGCCAGGCCAGGACGAGTCTCTCCAGGCCGGACTACAGGAGGGCAACAAATGGGCGGCGTTGACATTCTGCTGGTCGAATCTGGAGCGGCAGGTGCGCATCGAGGGTCTTGTCGAGCCGCTCAGTCGCGACGAGAGCGAGATGTACTGGCGTACTCGGGAACGAGGGAGCCAGATCGGAGCGTGGGCGAGCTGGCAGAGCAAGGTGCTGTGGTCTATGGAGCCGGAGTTGCTTCTGGATCGTCGGCGCAAGAGCCTCGACCCGACTTCGTGTCCGCAGATGCAGGTCCCCGGGGATGTTGACGCGACGGACATCGATGATGGGCGGGCGCTGCTGGAGAAGCGGGTCAAGGAGATGGAGGAACGGTTTGCGGGGGTCGAGCAGATTCCTCTGCCCCCGTTCTGGGGAGGAGTGCGCTTGGTCCCTGAGTCGGTGGAGTTCTGGCAGGGTCGGCGCAGTCGGTTGCATGACCGATTCCGCTATGTGAGGGTGCATAAAGAGGATGGGGAGGAGGGGGGGTATAGATGGCGGATTCAGAGGTTGTCGCCGTGAGGACACATACTATTATAAATTTATACATGAATAGTAACATTCAAGCTTAATCATAACACTTGACATCTCTACTTAGCTGTTATACTCCGTATACAATAGCTATCAGCCATATCCGGCAGCAGCCAAGACCTCACCTTATCGATAGGAGCGCAACCTCAGCTCCCTCCCCAGTTCCCCAGATTAATACCACCAAGCCCTCCATACTCTCTATCCTGAACCACCTACACTCCACACCTTTTACAGCTCACACATCAATACAATCAATCCAACATGACCGACCCTCAATCGCCATCCCAATCACCACCCCCAACCGCAACCCCAGTCCAACAACAACAAAAACACCACCAAACCAAATGGCTCCTCCTCGCCCTCTCCAGCGGCGCCTTCGCAGCCCTCAACGGCCTCTTCGCAAAGCTGTACGCCCTTCTTCTTCCCCTTTCCCCTATCCCTTTCCCTCTCACATACACAAAAACTAAAGCAAAGCAAATACAGAACAACCGACACCGCAACCACCACCTTCGCCGCGCACCTCATCCACCTCTTCACATCCACCTCCACCTCCACCCCAGATGACCACCCGATCCTAATCCTCCTCATCCGCGCGCTCTGCTTCGGCCTCAACATCCTCAGCAACATCATCATGTGGGCGTTATTCACGCGCGCCCTGACGGCGGGGTCCTCCACGACAAAGGTGTCGATTACGAACACGGCGGCGAATTTCCTCGTTACGGCTGTGCTAGGCATGGGGGTTTTTGGGGAGAGGGTGGGTGGCTGGTGGTGGGTTGGGGCGGGGTTGATGGGCGTGGGGTGTGTTATTGTGGGGAGGAGGGATTGAATTTATTATATTATTTTGGGAGTGGTAGGGAGGATAGTATAGGGTTGTGTGTATGTATGTACAATGGTTGTGTGTGTGTGTGGTGTGGTATCAATGCTATCTATCTACTGCGTATCTATTCTTTGGATGGGTATGTGTGTGTGTGTGTGTGTGTATCATAATGGAAGGGATGAGGGGAGGGGGTTAACGCTCTTCTAATTCCAGCATGGCGTCTGTCTCGTCTGCTTCGTTGGGAGCGGTATCCGTCGCATCTCTGTGCTGCTCGGGGACTGTGGTGTCTCGTCGTCGGGCTGGTGGTTGTTGTTGTTGTTGTTGTTGTTGCTGTGGTTGGGTGTGCTGCCACGGCAGTGTAGACCCGATGCGCTGCAGGAGGTTCCACAGCCGTTCCTCTAATGTGTCACCACTGCTTCGGCCGTTGGCCCCTCCCAGAGCTAGTTGGGGTGGACTGGTCGCCGCGAGTGCTTGTTCCTCGGCTTCAACCTTGAACTGGTACTTCAAACAGTCCTTGACGGTGACAAGTCCCATCAGACGACCGCGATGCTCGACCAGGATGACGCGCGGTCCCATCTTCTTGAAGATCTCCATCACTGTCTCGAGGGCGAGACGGGGGTGTACTGTCAGCGGCGTGTGGTCCGCGTATCGGCTGAAGTCGACGTAGTCGGCCCCCGTGTTCGTTTGGATGTCGTCAAATGTCTCCGGCGCGTGGAGATGCGATGCTGTCGATGCCCTGCGTGTTACCGATGCCTCGGCTGCTTCTTTGGTGAAGAGGCATTTGGCTGTGGGCGATAGCGGCCCCTCGGCTTTGGCGCGGTTGATTGCGTAGCGCAACTCCGTGCGGCCGATGTATCCCACGAGTGTCTTTCGGGTCCGGTCGTCGACGATGGGGAAGCCTTGATATTTGTTGTCGCTTAGTAGGTGCTCGGCTTCGCGGACGGGAAAGTCGGATGCGGGCAGTGAGACTGGGTCGGATGTCATGGCTTGGGAGACGGGCACGTTGAAGACATGGTCTTCTTTGTTGTCGAGGAATGGGAACCCGTTGGACCAGATCATGCGGTCGGCGATGCCGCCCTTTCCGAAGCAGTCGCTGACGGCTTTGGTGACGCCGACGACGATCTAGTTTTGGGTTAGTGGTAGTACGGGGATAGGTTTACAAGGAACGCACCATCGTTGGAAGAATGTAGTTCAGGGCACCCGTCAACTCGAACATGATGACCGTTACAGAGATCGTCAAATGCATGATACCACTGAGAGCCGCGCCCGCCCCCAGGAAGGCATACGTTCCTGGTGTGATGCATGGAATGTCCGGCTCGCAGGACGCAAAGAATTGCGACTTCGGATACGCTTCGTGCAGCGCTTGAACAAGGATACCGACGAACCGGCCAAAGGACGCTCCGATGGCCATTGACGGCACGAAGATACCAGCTGGGACCTTACAGCCATATGATATGATAACCAGGAAGATGCGGAGAATTGTAGCTACGGCCAGCGACATCACCATAGACCAGCGGTTCTTAGCCCTACAATGTGTGAGTACATGTTACGCCAATCGGTTGATACCACTTACTCGCACAGGCCGTTATAGTCGTGCCCTCCCTCGCATTCCCGGAACAGGATCTCCATCATTTCCGTCATGTTGATCTTCAGGAACATATTCGGGTAGCACAGGATGGCCGTGATGAGGGCGAGGACAACTGATTCCATGACGGCGTGCTGCGACAGGTACTTCTTCCTGAACGCTTGCACCCGAAGGTTCCACTTGATCACAAAGGCGCCGTATAAACCACCAAAGACACCAATTAAGACGAAGAATATCAGCTCAAAGAAGTGCCAGGTACGGTCATATTGCACTTGGAACATGACCAGTTGCCCTGTCCGGAATGGATTCATGACCTGCATGTGTCAGCGACGAACAATCAAGAGATCGGTAGACATACCGCTAGCACACCAGTCGCAACCAAGGCACAGAAATAACTGCGCCATAGCGTCTTAAGGGGAAAGTAAGATGCCACTTCCTGCCAGCTAATCAGTATGAGCTTTCACATCAGCCCTGCTGCTCATACCTCGAGAGAGAACAGCACCCCGCCAATGGGACTGCCAAATGCGACTGCCACACCGGCCGCTGCTGTTGCCGTCAAGACCTCCCTTGTCTTGGATGCATTCTGCTTGTATTTGCTGAAGAACCGCGATATGACATTCCCCGTACACACAGCGAAATGCACACTCGGACCCTCTTTCCCCACGGACAGACCAGATGCAATGGCCAGCGGTAGTGCGATCGACTTGATCAGCAACGTCCATGCGCCCAAGAATCCCTTCATCACAAACCCCGCAATTATACATTTGATCTCGGAAATGCCGGAACCTGCGGCGTACGGCGCGAACGATTTGACGAGGCTTGCGGCGACGAACGCAAACAGTACCTATTCAAGTCAGCCCCAGTCATCCGGAACGAGCAAGGTGGGCATGCATACAGCGTAGAAGATGTAGATGAAGTAGTTCACGATCCAGTAAGAGGTCCAAGGCCTCCACTCCGGACACCCTAAACACAAAGACCCATTAGCTTAGACAACGAGGGGCGATCGCACCACCATTCCACATACCTCCTTCAGCACCCCAACAACAAAACTGTTCGTTGAGATAGAACGCAGTCGTACAATGCCCCAGCTTGACATCAGACAGCCACTCTGTAATGATATTCAAAATCGCCGATATCAACCCAATGGCCGCCCCCACAATGGTGATCACCAGCCACGCCTGGCCGGCATCGTAGGACTCGCGCACTTTGCGTCTCCATCCAAAGGTCCCTTCCTGGTCCCAAAACCCAGATCCATCTCGTCGCTTAGCTCTCCGACGTGCCTGCTCGTGAACCGCGTCTTGCACCCAGTCAATGGTTGTGAAATCTTCGTAGCGCTTGATTTCGCTGATCTCCTCGGTGATGGCGGAGGGCTGGCCATTTTCCGGGGTCGGGCGCTCGTGGATCGGTGAGACGACAGATAAGCCTGATAAACTCCTCCAATTCCGACGCTCAGACGAGAGGGGAGGCGGACGAGCCGAAAAGGGTGAGACAGGCATCGCAATTCATTCCATGGACTGACAACGCAAGATGAGCATAGCTGAAGCTAGTAAGAGGGGAACTCTGGGGGGGGAGAAGAGGGAATTCTGTTGGATCGGAGATGACGACGATAGGATGCGCGGCCGCCCACGTGAGGAATCCGGACTATGTTCCGCTCTCGGGCTTCTCCCAAAACGAGGCTGAATAGACAAAGACAAAGTGCTAGGATGTTGGACAATAGAGTGGAATATGTAGATACGTAGCAGGGATCTTTCATCGAGTGCTGGCTGAGAAATCGCCTAATAAGCGTGAAGTAACTAGCTAGTATTCATCCTCTTCCGAACCATACATTATTCATTTACTTTCCTCTTCCGCCACGCGCGAGAGTGGATTTCGACGCCGCACGCGCCGGATTTCCCCTTCTTTGCAACTTCACTTACTGGGTTTGTCTTTGCATCAACGCAGTCGCTGGGGTAAAAGTACTGCCTCAACAACACTAAATCTTTCGTGTCATTCTCGTCAGGTGCAATCCGGTATCATTCAGAACGTTACTTGCACAACTATCTCCGACGCGACGTCGCGATGCCGCCCAAGGACAAAGCTGCCGCGGAAGCATCATCTTCCCAAGAGATCACGGGCCAGAGCGCACTTCCAAGTATGTGTGACGCTGTTTGCTATATCTTACAAGGCTAACATGAGCTGAAGTCTCACGGATTAAGAAAATTATTCAATTAGATGACGATATCGTACAATGTTCGAGCAACGCTACGTTTGTGATCGCAATGGCCACGGTTCGTGACTGCGATACTCTTCTTCCCTTCAGTCACTTTCGAGGCGATCAGCTACTCATATTGCTTCCACAAATTAGGAACTGTTCATTCAATACCTTACCGAACAAGGACACAACGTCGTGAAATCAGAACGGAAGCCGCGCAAGCTTATCCAATATAAAGACCTGGGTTTGTGGCCACTGGGCTGAGGGGATGATAATATAATTTACTGACGGATGAATCTCCAGCTACGGCCGTATCACGCATCGATAATCTTGAATTCCTCTCCGACGTGATCCCCAAAACCACAACCTATAAGCAGTTCAAGGAGAAACGGGCAAAGGAGAAGGAACCCGGACCCGAGAAGGGACAGCGCACATTAAACGGCAATATACCTGCAGCGGTCGAAGAGAAAGAGGAAGTTGAGGAACAACAACAGAGTCTACAGCCAGTAGAGGACAAGCCTTCGAGGGGTTCTCGACCGCCAACGGTGACAATGATGGTGGATCGAACGGTTGATGCATCTGCTGGAGATCAGGATGTCGAGATGACGGACCAGTGACGGATTCCGACGATTATGAGTTCTGGGATTATATATGTGTGTATCTTTGCATGGTGGAGTTATTTCGGAGGGTATTATTTTGCTTGGGTTTCGACCTGTGGGTTATTCAATTGAAAATATGCTGTTAACTAGTTGATTTCGTGTTGGAATATTCGGATACTATTGGGGGCAGCGGAATGGAACGGACGACGGGATGAGCGGGAGGAAGGGAGTGAATGACGAATGGCGTAATGAGGGTAAATAGTTGTTAGCAAAACAAAACAAAAAGGAATAAATGAATGAATATGAAGGTACATAGGTCGTTGAGGAAATAAAAGTAAATAGTTAGAATGAAAGTAAATGTGTATCCTAATTAGTTCGTAGTAGTAGTGAGTAGTAATAGGCTGTGATGATTGACTGTCAGGTGAGAAGCCTGACTAAGACGGGACGACGGGCCAATGAAACGCCCCGTGATTCCGATCGCTTGTCGTAGCGAAAGCTTTGGTTCGACTCTTTCCGTATGCCGGGCCTCCGACCTCAACCTCGACCTCTTGGGAAAATCAAATCCTCCCTCCGTCCTTATCTCTCCCTCTCCACCCCCCACACCCCAACCCACCTCCCTGCGGTCGTTCTCTATTGCAATTGATTGCAATTGCTCGTCTCGCCATGTCTCTCTCCGCCGCTTCCAGCTCTATCCTGCGCGCTTGCGCCCGGCAACAACTGCCCTCTTCTCGCGCCGCCATTGCCTCCTGCCAGCAGCGGAGGGGAGTCGCTGATGCCTCCAAGTCCACTTTCGATAGCCCCTTCGGCAGCTCCAAGGAGTACTCGTCCACCCTGAAGATCCCCGATTTCAGCAAATACCAGTCCAAGAAGCCCCCACGCTCCAACCAGGTCTTCTCTTACTTCATGGCCGGTTCCCTCGGTCTGGCCTCTGCCGTCGGTGCTAAGGCCACTGTCCAGGGTAGGTACTTCTGGAGATATCAATGTTGCGCATATACAAGAGAGAAAGAGGCGGGAAATTTAGGAGACGGGGATATCAGGTTGAACAATTGAAGGGAATGGATGTGTGCTTGACCGCTCGGAACAAATCGCTGATGTGAATTCTCTCTAATCAATAGACTTCCTGGTTAACATGTCCGCCTCCGCCGATGTCCTCGCCCAGGCTAAGGTTGAGATTGGTCTCGGTGCCATCCCCGAGGGCAAGAACGTATGTTCCATATTCCCGAGCCACAGTCCTCTGGCTCGTTCCCCCTTTGCAATCCGGCATCGCATCTGACCCATTCCGAAACAGGTTATCATCAAGTGGCGTGGTAAGCCCGTCTTCATCCGTCACCGCACCCAGGACGAGATCCAGGAGGCCCAGAAGACCGAGTGGCAGTCCCTCCGTGACCCCCAGGCCGACGAGGACCGTGTCCAGAAGCCCGAGTGGCTTGTCATGCTTGGTACGACATTCCCTTCTTCCCCGGACCCGCCATTGTCCCCCCATCTAACACATTTTCCCCCCTATCTAGGTGTCTGCACTCACCTTGGATGTGTCCCCATCGGTGAATCCGGTGACTATGGCGGCTGGTTCTGCCCCTGCCACGGTTCTCACTACGACATCTCCGGCCGTATAAGAAAGGGACCCGCTCCCCTGAACCTCGAAGTTCCCCAATACAACTTCCCCTCCGAGGACACCCTCGTCATCGGTTAAACGATTTAGATTTGATTCGATCTTCTGAGACCGCGAGAATCGGGCGATGGCCGTAAGAGCAGAAGTAGAAGTCGGGAAGGGAGAGAGAGAAAGAGAGACAGAGAGAGAGGGAGAGAGAAGGTTTGTATTTGTGCAATAGACGAAAGCCTTCCTCTCTCTCTCGCTCGCGTTCTACTCTAATTTTGTGTGTCTTTTTTTGTCAAGATTAAAGAGACCTTGTGTTTTTAATATGGACCCTGGAAAAATGAGCCTCTTGTTCTATTACAGTTTTCTTAACACTGTTTTCTTTTTTGCCTTTCCCTTTTCCTTACTTCCCTCCGCTTGCTCATAGAGAGCCTGTATCATTCACTCGTTGTCTCTTCAGGGCGCCCCCTGTGTTTTTTTGGCTTTTCGCTCTTCGGTATAGACGTTGGGGAAGATGCGTGGGATGGACATACAGATGTGTATTTTATCTGTTTGTATGTTCCATGTTGTTGAGTATATGTGTCTTGTCTTTGTTTCGTATAGTCGCTACTATCAATGCTGTTCCGGTTTCTTTTGTACTACGACGAGGGAGTCACTGTTCCGTTTACCGATACGGAAGTAGTAGATCCACAGAGGCACACCAAGTAGATCTGAAATGTCTATCTATTTATACATTTATTTATCTGAACGCTGTACATCTAATGACCAGGATGAACATCACATGCTAATAATTACATCAATCAGGCTATCAAACAGATCAATGACGATGACCTCATCATCACCGTTGCCGAATAATCATCGACAACATGCTGATCACCGCCGCACCAGCAGCAGCGCTTTGAAGAGCAACAGTAGAGAGGTCTCGTTGTGTGAGCACGACTTGACGGTCACTGAAGAGATCGTGGAGGTATTGGCGCAAGGATTCAATGAACGGAGAGACGCGCGAGAGCTGGTATTGGATATACTCCCGGATATTGTCAGGGGTGGGTTTGCTGACTGTGGTATTGGCTGACGGTTCCGCATCAGCTGGGTCCGAACTGAATACCTCCGGTTCGGTGCTCTCGATCGTGACGATTGCATCGGTATCGGAGATCGGTTCGTCTGCTGTAGTAGAAACAGACGGTTCGGTAGTAGTCTCAGCGGTCTCGGGAGTCGCAGGAGAGGCGGTAGATGTGGTAGACGATTCCTGCGCCATCTGGCTCTGAGCAGACACGATCTGAATCCGATCAAGGGCCTTTTCCTTCTCAATGGCTTCAATGACCTTCTCTTCAAAGCCCTTGACGAGTCTCTTGCGACGCCAGGGTTCCACGGCGATCTGGAAGATCAGGAAGAGAAGCACGTTGACTCCCATCAACCCCCAGGTACCCCAGGTACTCATTTGGCGGATCTTGTCCGACCAGACTTGTTCCTCATGATACCGGGACAGGATGCTCTTGCTCAATTGTGCGGCAGCCTCTTCGGCCTCGTGTTCTGCCTGGCTCAAAGCCTCCTGTGCTTCGTGCTCGGCTACTTCGTTGGTGTGGTCGTTGCGGTAAAGGTGGGTGAATCGTTCCAGGTCAGTGGGGGACCAGGCATGTTTGCGTTGGAGAAGCTCGTTCACTTCGCGCTGGGAGGTCGATCGGTTGTTGATGGCAGCTGCATAGGCATCTTTCGCTGCACGGACTTGGAGGCGAGCGTTGCGGAGTCGCTCCTCTTTTAACCATGACGAAAATGAGAAACAATACTATAATGACTATGTTTTGGAATAAGAGCGTCACATACCTTGAATATGAATCTCCTTCTTCAGCGTCTCAATCGCCGAATAGCCCGTAAGATCGTTCAATCGCTGGCCTGCCACGAAAATGTTGGATTGGAGGTTATCCATCACATCACTGAACCGCTTGGTAAATTGTGACCTGCGTTGCTCTATGTATGATGGAAGCCCTCCATCTCCCCGCCCCTTTCCATTGGCCTCGCTCTTCTCTTCTTCTTGCTGCTGCTGCTGCTGCTGCTGCTGGCTCTGTGTACTTTCTCCCGTCTCCGCAGCAGCGGGAGGAGTATGTTGCTGAGTCCCCGCATCGGCTTGTAACTCTGCGTTCCCTGCGGGAAGAGCTATGACTGGGCTTTCGTCTTCCTTCGGCTGCTCAGCAGGCTTCCCATCTTTGAGGGGATCAGATGAGTAAAGCGAGGACTGGGATCGGAATTGACATTGCAGGCAGATGGAGAAGTTCCGCGGTGCAGGGTAAAGAGAGTTCGGACCAACGGCGGGCAGGAGCGGTCGTCGTACTGGGCGGGTTGTTCGGGTGAGGTTAAGGGTTGATTTGAAGGACTGCCTGAGCAGCAATGGCATAGACTGCATGGCCGTTGCTAAGGCCACTGGGACGTCGACCAGACAGACGCTGGGTTTGTATGTTGTGCTGGATTATCGGGTGGGTTTGAATGCTGCTCGGCGCCGGGAGAGAAGGCGGTCATGCGGAATCGCCGCGGTTCTGCACGGTTCTGGTGGGTATTTTAGTAGCGCAACGTTGGGATGGTTTTGTTGGTTCCGACGAGACTATTTCTCGTGGCATTATTAGAGTCCTTTGCTCGTCTGTTTGATTTTTCTTTGCTTTACATGGTGTATATCCTGTTCGCATAGTAATCTTATTGGTATCAGAGTGAGCTAAACAAACGTGAAACGACATTAACCGCCTGGTGTCCTAGTCCACTGATACGAAAGAAAGTGGTAGAATGATGTAGACAATACATGATTAACAACGTCATTATGCGTGATCACAGAGTTAACTGCATAAAAAATCTCCAGCGATGGAAGCCACGGAGCAAGAAATGAGTATGATGTGTATAGCGAGTGAACTCTCATGAAGCAACATCTCCGGGCACTGACCACTCCTAGCGCACTAAATGCGAATGGAGCTGCCGGTCTTCCCTTGCTCTAAGGCATTCAGTCCTGCACTTTATGATCTCCCTTCACGGCCTCAGCATAGGTAGGAGGTGGGCGACTATCCGGGTGGTCCTGGCTGCTGCTGCCAGCTTGGGCTTGTTCATGAGGGTGATTCGGGGTAGGTTTCCGATTCTGTGGCGGGGCGTTTGCTGCTTGGGGCTGTTGTGGCGGCATTGTACCATAGCCCCTCTGGGAGGGGTGCTGGATCGGTTGGTGGGAAACATAGTAATATGTTACGCGACCGTTTTCCGCATCGCCAGGAAGAGGCTCATGGCTAGGGTCATCATAATCTGGTTCGGGGTACTTGAGTATAATGTACCAGGCGTGTAAAAGCCCAGGCACGTAGCCAAGGCAGCAGAGAGCAAGGTTGATGATGGAATCGGCCGTGCAAATGCCTACTTTGATCCACACTGAGCCAGTCGGTTAGCATGCGCCACCTCATGAATGCAGTGTGCGATTAGTACTCACCCGAAACTGGGGGGAAGAAAACAGCGAGAATTGCTAGAAAGATATCTGAACCACACATGGCTGCAATGGTAGGATAGGTACTCTATTGATCAACCTCCTGACCATGCAAGTGTTCACTGTAAGATCTTGGTTGGTATCCTACGGTGTAGGGATTAGTATAAGAGGTAGTACGCATGAACCTGAAGCGGCAGGTAGTTGGTGGGATGACGAACGATAATGATGGATGGATGCCTGCCTGAGCCTTCAAGTCAGATGACGTCGTTATTATCACCTGACGGCACGGCTACTACTGTGATTGACCACATTCAGTAATCTCTTATCATTGTCTCGATGCGATAACATGACGCTTCATATATATGTGTAAATATTATGAACTCCTTTCATTGGACATAAATTCTTTTACGATGATTCGGAGACTGCTTCCTCCACGGCTGACACTGTGCATAGGCTGTTGGGGAGCCTGGGCACCCGAGGCTGCTGGAGACGGGAAACTGAGGGTAATCAGCGTTGGTATAGCACTCTTAAAAAAAAAACAAAATTTATTGTTTCATGGAGCTTTTTATAGACACGGTCTCTGCGATATAGCTTGAATTGCTTGGTCTTGGGACAGTGGTAGGTCTCTTGCAAAAGAGTCTTTGACCAATCGAGGAATCTTCAATGTAGTACTAGCAGCATCCCAAGTCTTGCATGTTTAAATATATACTGGTACTACTAGTACTCTCTGTCGTTCGTTAAATTTCCCATCACAGTATCGTTCCCCACCAGTTGCTACTAATAATTTTAACTAAGTAGTCAACCAGTATTGGTATCCTAATAGCCTTTCCTACTGCATCTCCTCCTCCAATTCGCTCTGAAAACATACTACAGTAGTTCCTGGCCTACAGTTTATTACTGTAGTTGCACTGCGACTGTCAGAGGGATAGGACTGAATATACTACAAGTAGAACTATCAACAGATCTCACATGAACGAAGTAACAATATTGATACTAGATTGCTTACACTGAGCGAGATAGATAATTTATCCTGGCCAGATTTTCTTGTTATTTCTTTCCAAGTGTCTCGAAGCATTCCACAGAGTGAAACTCTATTTTTCAAATGATGCCAAGGGATCGAACTGAGTATACCCGAGAATGTGATCAGTAGAAACCCAAAACGGAACCTTAGATATCGGTCGAGCAGCACGGACAATATTCTACACATCCATCAGCCACAGGATCGGTGCCACGATGTGTCAAGACCAGACAGGCGATGGACAAAATTGCTTCCTCGATCTCGGGTGAAGTTGCCTCCAGGTGCCCCTAGTATCTGTCTCATTGGCTTCCTAGAATGATTTCCTGCAGGACACATTGCAAGGTTAGGGTGTTGTTTCAACATGTCTTCTTGCCAGAGAGCAGGGTGTGATACAGATGCCATGATACATTCAGAGTTACGGAGAATATGTGGGGTAACTCAGAGCAGCCCGGTCGGCTTTCTTACATCCCTAAAGTCGGACATAATCACGGAAAGCCGAATGGGAGTCTCAGAGCAACCTTGGGATGCATCTCGATAGGGGTCATAGTGGTCTCGCAACGAGCTCGACTACATAAATTCGCAGAAGCAGCATGCCAGATTCTGTGGTGAGCGAGCTCCTCACCTCTGTTAGATGACCCTAGCATTGTGCGGAAAAGGGCGTATGCGTGACACGCAAGGGTATATTATATTATCAATGCTATTCTTTAGTTGGGGCAAAACTAATTCGAATAATTGGTAGGTATTGCGACGCCATGTTGAACACCTAGTTATCGCGCCAGTTGTGTCGTTGTATTGCCATAGATATTGGACGCATCTGAATTAATTTATTAGCCTCTACCAAGCGTGCCTATCTTCCGAGGTAGGGTCAAAAGGGATAGTAATTCGAGGGACCAGTCTGATGAAAGCGATGCAGCAGTCTTTCGTGGGCATTGGTATAGCAGAGCCAGGCGAGTGAGGCGACGATAGCGAACGGCCCAAAGTGGATGTAACTAACATACTTACGGTACACCGACAAGTGCTCTGCGGATGGTATCTCAACTCTCAAGCTTACATGTCGACCACTTGAGAGTCGTCATCCTGGGACAATGCTTCAGCTGTGAAAATATCAGAAACCTAATAGCAATTAATTGCCCAACCAGGCAATTCCTAGTGTACCATAGAGTTGCACAATTTGGTTCTGCTCCCGTGTCGGCCAGGCCCACCCTAATTGCTGCTGCGGCTTTCCCTGGTTCCATTCTCCCACAAAGCTTCAGGGTGCAGATTCAGAGTAGATAGTCATTAGCTGGCACATGTACTCCCTAACAGTGCTGGAAGACATGCCACTGCGGAGATGTATACAACCTGAAACACTGTTCTGTGTTGGCTTGAACAAGGCTAACGGCAATGGATACACTTCATCCGAATAGTGGAGGCTGGGCCATTCGCTGTGTCCAGCACAGTCCGTGCCTCTGGCACCAACAGCCTCAAATCGGACGTATGCCACGTCAGTCGATCACCGCCAGAGATAGATAATCCCTAAGAACTGCTCCTATGCATCACAAATTCCTCGCGATGATCAGGGCAATAAAGTTTCCGGTTCCTGCATTGATTCTTCCTTTTCTTCTCTTCTTCCGCCTGCTTGTTCCTGAGTTCCTTGCAAAGACGGCTGCACCCCCTGCAGGATCTCATTATTTGGTCTGACTAGACTCTACGCCAGGGAGTAGAAGAAAAGTCTGACCAATTTGCATCCTTGCTGCAAGCGACAAGGTATAGAGTTCGTCAGTGCTTGCAACGACAAAGTGAAACGCAAAAAGGCAAGTGTTTACTTTACTTTTGGAAAGTTTGATGGGTGTGATAATGAACCGAGTCGGGATCGGCTCTTGTACCTCAATTCCGGGTGCTGGTGGAGCTCCGACTCAAGATCTCATTTGATAACACCGAGTCTCGCAATAAGTGAACTAACTCGATCTGTAGGCGCAACTGAACCTTCATGCGGAGGGACTCAATCGCAGCGCATTGCAGTGGAGCAGTTTAATTGGAAAGACGCCGGCTACTCTTGCGAACCGCCCGCCCCGTCCCCCTTTTGAGTCAGTCTTCTCCAGTCGCGGCCCTTCTGGTGCTTCTGCCCTTTTACCTTTTTCTGTTCATTGCACTTCTTCCATTACTCAATATTGTTCCGTGAAGAAACCGACTTCTATCGGAGTCCAATCGCGCCCTCCTGCCGGTACTTTTCTAGGTCTCTTCTTCTCGGGGGGGCCTCGAACCCAAGCGGCAATTACAACAAGCCCAGACTGGGAAAGCACGGCCTTCCTCCAGGCTCCTTGTCTAGCGCCTGCCTTTTCTGCCGTGGATCGACGCCTCTTTTCATTTCTCCTCCCGTGACTTTTCGATTATCCTGCGCTTTTCTCCCCATCCTTTGACTTTCGCCGTTGGGGTGCTTCCCGGCAACTGCTTGCTATAAACCCAACCAAGTCACTCGTTCATCCCCAGGTTCTAATCGCATCGGTGGAGTCCCTAGTGCTCTATTCAACCATTCGTTTTCGCTTTCTCTACAATTCTATCTGTCGCACTAATTTGGGACGCGTCGACAATTGAAACCCACTCGGATTAGAGACCATCGTTGCGCATACCCAATCGTTCATTCATTCGACCCCAAAGGTGATCGCGAAAGAAGGGAAAGAGCATGGAAACAACTGATTTACTCTCCTGCTGAAGGTTCATATCCGAGTTGTGATCTGCTCGTCATTGTTCTGCCCTACGATATCAATTTTCGCATCCAGAAGCACCTGGCAGTCACCAGTGCTGATCCAACCATGTCCAGCACGTGTATCTCATTGTCGGGCTCGACACAATGCCCTGCTTTTGACAGTTCCTCTGTCTCGACGAACTCCAGCCTGTATACAGACTTGTATGTACAAGCGTCCGGCATGGGCAATTCATTGCGCTAATTGCTTCCTAGTCCCTTCATGCAATACGTGTCGAACCTAACACAGTTCGACAATGAGCTGAGCAGCTATGTCATGCAGGGATATGTCAAGGAAAAGTAAGTACCCCATTCCGCAAAGGCCGGGGAGATGTCTGACCAAAGCACTATCTACTAGGTATGAGGAATACTTGGGCTGTCAGGGGGTAAACTTGACAGATACCGACGATTATTATGCCCGCTATACGACAAGTGTATTATGTAGCAGCCTGGTACAAAGCTCAAAGAGTGATTGTAACCTATCCGATGAAGAGTCAAGACCGCTTTGCGCTGATACCTGCGTTCGTCGATGCCCTCCTAAATATTTGTTGCCTGGAAATCCTCACTAACTACTGTTAGGCATCAATGGCGATCAGTGAAGAGGCGATAGTTACGGATACTAATCTCTGCTCCGAAAAGGCAAGCGACTACATGTCTCAAATTCGGTCTGACTTTACGATCTGCGCCCTACCAGCCGATTCGCTTACGGTAACTTGCATCACGGGAGCCGAAAACGAACCGAAGAACTGCGGATATCGTTCAAATCTCTTGGGACTGTGTACATATTGCGCCTCAGGATCGTCAAATTCCACCGATTCGTGCTGTACAGATTCGAATGCTGCTACTCGGTGTTCGAATGTCACAGTTCCGTCTTCGACACTTCCCCCGATATTCACCTCTACAGCTGCGTCCAACTCAACAGCAGGCTCCAATGACTTATCGGGAGGGCAAATAGCGGGAATTGTTATAGGTTCGGTAGCCGGATTTGCCCTTCTCGCCGCATTAGCCGTGTTGGCATTGATTTATTGGCGTCGCAGGCGCCGGGCTGAGAATGATAGCTCACTGAATCAGCCCAACCCCCAGAGGAAGGGGTCACCGTTAATGCAGCAGGACCGAAGTCTGCATGAGTTTGCTGCCATACCCGGCGGTCGAGTTGCCAGGATGTCCGCCTTGCGCGAAGTTTCCAGCTCATCCCCCGCTCGATCTCGGTACTCTGCTTTGTTCGGTGGCGGAAAGTACAGCGACACCTCAGATTCCGACCACGGTGCCAGCCCTGGAGCAATGTCGAAAAAGATTCCCCCCACAACAGGAAAGCGCCATGGATCGCTTTCCAGTAACTCAGCCTTGGCTGGTGCGGGCACAGATTCCTCCCCTCGTTCAGGAACCGGCGGCCAGTATTCGTCACCGGACGGACTGACCAGCGGCCAGTCGGAGCAGCTATCTGCCTTCCAAGACTACTACTCGCAGGATGACATTCATCCGGGTGACAAGGTTGCCGTACTCTGGGCATACCAGCCTCGGGCAGGTGATGAGTTTGCGCTGGACCGCGGCGAAATGCTGAAAGTGATCGGCATCTGGGACGATGGGTGGGCTACTGGTATTCGAATTCCCGAAACGGCAGAGGATCACGATGCTCGACACCGCGAGCAACGAGATAGTGGTGTATCTAATGGCTCACGGCGGGCCGCTACATCTCCCGCTCCCGTTGGGGATATCAAGGCATTCCCTCTGGTCTGTGTATGCCTTCCGCAACATTGGAGGAAAATCATCGATGGCGGACAAGCTGAAGACGACTAAGGATGGGCAGCAGCTATTTGCCCATCCGTCGATTCTACACATGTCACCAATAATGCCAGATTTTATGCCCCAGTGATGATCTTTTCTTTCTGATGTTGATTTTCTTCGCGCAATTGCTGGTTATAACGGTCAACCCCTCATATTTTTTTTCTTTTGCAACCAACCCTGTCTTAAAAATTTTCTGACATGGACGATATCCTGAGACGATGTCATACGTTTGTCATTTGCGCTTACTCTCTGTTGAATTCTTTGAGCTTCCATATACCCCATTCTCCTGCAACAACTTGTTGCCACTTCATGTATGATTTTTTGTTCCTTTGCTTCCCTTCATCTCTACATACGATTTCCTTCTTCCGTGCCCCTGTTCCCACCATGTACACACATTTCGTGGACGAAGTGATGTCGATTATTGGTGCGGCAGCGGGGTTCTTATTTGTGGCTACCTATTCACCACCGTGCAGGTTGAACGATGGTAAATTTTACGATCTGGAAGTATAGATTATTCTGATACCGTGTTTTCGTAGACGTTTTGCATGGTTGAAAATGACACTGAAATGTAGCTGTTTTACGCATTCTGTATGAATGATAACGACATACGATGATCGTACCCGGAACACATGGATGCGATGCACCTTAACTGGAGCTAGGGCATGGGTAGTATATACACGCGTCCGACTTGGGCCATCAGGCACCATGAAACTTGTGATGATGACGGACAGCCATGTGCATTGCCTGTAATATATCAGGTTCATGCCCTGACGTGATACTGTTCGGCTAGCCGGGGCTAGTTCCATGGTTGGTAATCTATCAACGGCGGATTCTTCCGGTGTAAAGCAAGATTCGTCTGCCTGGAGGTACCAAGAATAGAAAAATCCAACAGCAAACTGACAAAGGCAGGCAGGCGTCTACGAAATGCTAGCTAGCTAGTCTAGCTGGTCGACATATTATTACAGCTAGATAGATCTCTCCCAAGATAGCAGGCCCCCACACTTAGAGAGAGACCGCCGAGGTATGGTTCGCAGATGCCTGGGTCACCGATCTATGCTCATGTACCAGGCACTGGCCCCAACGCACCGTCATAGCCCGCGAATAAATGCCTTACATGCATCAGGGTGCAGGCAGGTGCATTACCAACAGATGTGCGTATGGGTTGGTCACGCCTGCCTACAGTAACTACTGGACCAACCCAACCTCATAACAAAGTCCAGGCTCATTTCGTCATAACCGCAGGATTCAGGGGGAAAATAAGTATGGGTGGGAAGGGGAAATAAGCGGCCGGTGGTGCGACGGGTGGGTCACGTGCTAGGCATCCCCCCCCACCGCCGCCGCCCGCCGCAGCAGCAACCCAGCAAAGCACAACTAAATGCCCCTCTATCTCCATCTCGGTTCCCATCCATCCTCCCCCGTTATATTCCTCTCTTACATCCCCTCATCCTGTCCCCGTTGCTCTTTCGCAGACCCCCTTTAAAAGTCATTTGAACAGTCCCAACGGTGCTTGGTGCGTATGCCACTTTTCTCTTTTCATTTGCCGTTTTTTTTTTTCCTCTTCAACCATTCTGCGATTATGACAAAGGACAAATAAGGGGGGAATCCGGCCAACTAACATCGCGTGCATGCGCAGGTCATCCGTCTGTCAACTCGTCTTACCTCTTTTCCATCTCACCCCTTTATCCACATAAACAACCATGTCTGTGAGTAATAATCCATCTTGTGCTTCCCGCTCAGGGCTAACCGTTTATTTCCCTGTTTTGTAGCTCGCATCTGGGTATGTTCCTGACTGCTCCAAATCTCCGCATGTGTCTTCGAACATTGCTACCGTATCGGAGAACTCGACGATGACAACCCCGAACAAGGCTGACTAAGTTACGGAGGACAGTGTTTCTATCACCGATGAGTGCATCACCGCATTCAACGAGTTCCGCATGAGCGGCAACAGCAAGGGAAGCAAGACGAAGTTTATCATTTTCAAGATCGCCGACAACAAGAAGGAGGTCGTCATCGACGAGGTCTCCCAGGACGAGGACTACGAGGTCTTCCGCGAAAAGCTCGCGGCCGCTAAGGATGCTAAGGGCAACCCCGCTCCCCGTTATGCAGTTTACGACGTCGAGTACGACTTGGGCGGTGGTGAAGGCAAGAGGTATGATGATGGCGATGGCTTATCGTCCGTGCTAGGATATCCGCTCACTTTCTTCTCACCACAGAAGCAAGATCATCTTCATTTCCTGGGTTCCCAGCGACACCCCTACCCTCGTACGTTTCGCACCGTCTCAGCTGTTTAAGCCCCAAATCATTACTGACACCGATGAAATAGTGGTCCATGATCTACGCCAGCACTCGCGAGAACTTGAAGAACGCCCTCAACATCCACACCTCTATCCACGCCGACGACAAGGGCGACATCGAGTGGAAGACCGTCCTGGCCGAGGCCAGCGGTGGTAAGGCTGGCAAATAAACAATGGCGCCGGCTGGGCCCGGGCCAGGTGACTTGGTTGTTGCAAATTGCAACACATCACTCTGACTCACTTTGCGGAGTACCTCGGAACGACCAACTTCTTCAGTTTCTCTGCACAAACTTAGTTAAATGAGAGATCGTTACGACTTGATTTCTTTTGATAGTGACCGTATCATCTTGCGATCGTGGCACTTTTCCTTTTTTCCAATTATGAACGAATATTGGGGAGGGGCATTTCTTTCTCTTTATCAGCGTTTGTCTGTACAGAATACTGTTACGTGCCATGATGTGTGAATACGCGATTCGATGTAGAGTAGAAACATCAGGTCACCCTGCACACAACCAACCCCCCAAAAACTGTGCTTTCAGTCGAGTGCTTAGGTCTGATATTCGTGTGAAGTAGGCTATCTCGACTATTGAGTGCTGAGAAGGAATGCCGGCCAGGTAGTATGAGTAGTAGTGAGTAAATAGTAGGAAGCACTTGGGTCTTGGGTTGTGAGAAGGGCGGCTGGTCAGCGTTGACTAGATGTAAGGAAGATAAGGCGCCGGGGATGAATGGGAAGGGACACCCTAGAAGACTAGACGGATTAGCCTTAGATTATACTAGTAATATAACTATACCCTATGGGAGATTTCTGGTGCTGACGGGAATTGGGAACATCATCGTAAGATGTGTCTTGGGGGCAAAAGCCATGGCGGACGGTCGGGACGGGCAGCGGGCGTGGACCAATGAGGGCGGCGGTAAAACGGACTAAGCTAGCCTGTCCGGATACTCGACTTCCACCTCAAACCACAAGTCGAACGTCGTCTTCGTCTCCCATCGCGACTCTTGGTACCCCCCTCCACTCTACCCCAGGTATTTCCCATCTCGAATTCCGACGAATCGGTCCTCTCGCTGCTGGAGAGCTGCTTTTTGGCGATCAATTGATACTAATACGCGCGCACACCCTTAGCACACAATGTTCCTTCGTTCCGTTACTCGCGCTGCTGCTCGCAGCTCGGCTGTGCCCACCACGGGCCTGCGCTCCTACCGCACCGTTTCGGGCCCAATGGCTTGCCTGAACGCTCGTCCTCAGACTGAGAAGAAGTCTATCGCTCCCCAGCAGACCCGCGCCGCCTCCGAGCATGCCATCTCGAATCCCACACTCGCCGGTATTGAGAAGCGCTGGGAGGCCATGCCCCCTCAGGAGCAGGCCGAGCTGTGGATGCAGCTGAGGGACCGCATGAAGGTCGACTGGCACCAGATGACCCTCCAGGAGAAGAAGGCCGGTATGCTGCTCTTTCTTGCCCCTTTCCGCTATCTTCCCCGCGTCCAACAGAATTTTGCTAACATGGGTATTTTTTTTCTTCTTCCCCTCGATTTAGCCTACTGGATCTCCTTCGGACCCCACGGCCCTCGCTCTGTGCCCCCCAAGGGCGAGAACCTCAAGATCTTCTTCAAGGTCGCCCAGCTCACCCTTGTCAGCTTTGGTCTCTTCTACATCATCCACATGTTCGCCAAGCCCCAGCCCAAGACCATGACCAAGGAGTGGCAGGAGGCCTCCAACGAGTATGCTAAGGTATGTGAAATCGACTATTTGCATTATTCATTTGCCAATTGGCACTGTCTTCATGGTGGAACGGTCGCTGATACGTATCATCACAACAGCAAGAGAACATCAACCCTATCTACGGTATCAGCTCCGTGGGTTACGAGGGCAAGGGCTTCGTCCAGAGCCCCCCTGCTGAGAAGCAATAGATTGCCTCCACCCCTCGGTAGGAACAGGTATAACGACGGGGTGTGCAGTGGATGGGCAGTGTTGGGCTACAGGAATGAACTGCTGCCTCCCACCGCACGACCTTTGATGACGCCGGTTCTGTGCCCATCAATTTTGGACACGATCCTTCGCCTCTGTTCTACTTGTTTGTCAATGTTAGCCCAAAAAGACCTCTGTATCTCGTACTGTGCAATAATCAATCATCTCCTTTGTAGCCATAGAAAGATCAGACTGCAGGTTCTTTCGTGTTACTCCTGTAAATGCTGTAGAACATATGGGACAGGAAATTATAGATGTCCCTCTGTAGCTAGGTATAAACGTGTGCTAAATCTTAGATTAATGCTTCTATAGATCAAGCTTACATACAGTATTTATGGGGGAAATGCTACGATGATCACTGTATAGGTGATTACATACGAGATGACGTTACTTTGATATTCCCTGCTGGGCAGGGCAAAGAAATGGGAAGGTTCGGAGCCACTGTTCGGTAGAGAGGCGGTAAGTCGGTGGTTCCAAGTTAAAACCGGAAGAGAGCTGTCACAGTCAAAATGCACAGTCTAATGCTCCTCTAGAAAACTAAAACAGCAATAACAGTAATAACAATAATGAAAATTATTATATAAAATAACCACAGTAGTGTATCTACTCCATGTTCAGGAATCAATGGGGGATGGTGGTGGTGGTGGTGGCTGGGTTGGTTGGTTGGATCCAAAAATGAAATGCACGGTCGCCCGGTTGTTTACCGTCGAGACACCGCAAAACCAAGCTGGGACCCCCGAAAGGGTAATCACGGGAACACGTCAGATTTTTTTTCGTTACAGCAGCGTTCGTCCGATATCGTCGGTCTGCCTTTCCGTTACAGCGAAAGAACAACTTGCCTTGTTGTACGGAGGCAGCCCCAACCCCCTCACGAAAAGAAATGGCTTGAGCGCTTTGCAGATGTGAGGGGAAAGGGAGGTATTTCTCGGAGTTGGTTTGTATGATGATTTTATGAATATTATAAAATTCACCGTAGATAAAGTTTTATTTTTTTTTGTTTGTTGATATATTTTTATTTTATTAATTATAGCTAGCTCTCTTTTTATTTTTATATATATTTACCTAGGCATAAAAGAAAAAAAGAAGGAAGAAAAAGAAAAGAACAGTAGTCTGTATTAGTATTATTTTGATGGGGTACCACCTTCCTCCCAGTGCATCCGGGCGCCAAGACCATCCCCATTTGTGTGCGAATTTCCCCCTAACAACCAAACAGGGCAAGGTGGGAAAGCTCGAATTGCTCCCAGTATCGAATCAACGCCCCGACCGCCAGCATCGCGGACATATGGGAGTCATTAGATTCTGCAGAATGGACTGGTAAAGATGCGGTCGCCATAGTAGAACCTCCTAGTGAATGTCGGCGAGCTGAAAGCTGGTTACCATGCTGGCCAGCGCGTTGCTCGGTACATCACGGGATCGTCGGCAAAACCGCCCCGGAAAGGCTAAGCCGGACACATTCGCCCGTGTCCACCTCAACCTCAACCTCTTCCCTTCCTTTCCCTCTTTCTTCCCTCTCCCCATCCTCTCGTCCCTTTGACCTTTTCTATACCCCATTTCGCTCTTCAACACCATCAAGATGTTCAAGAGGTGTGTGACTATACTTCCCCGGATCCCTACTCCAACCTTTTGCAATTCAAGATAAATTTTTTATCTACCTTTAAACCTTTTAAAGGCTTGCAACTAACCATTTCTTTCCCCCTTGTTACAGCGGTCTTGCCCGGACCTTCGGGAGGGCTGCTTTTGCCCGACCTACCTCCGTCGCCCGTCGCGCTTTCCAGCCTAAGACCAATGGCCTCCCTTCCCTGGCCCGTATGGCCAGCACTGAGGCCTCTTCCGTTGGAAAGATTCACCAGGTCATTGGTGCCGTCGTCGACGGTATGTGCCGGTCCCCCGTTCCAGAGAAAACCCTGCCGGCGGCTACGCGAAAATCTTTTCCGAGCCTCGATTCCATCCACAATCCCATCAAATTCGACTCAATGGCCATCAAATGAACACGATATCTGACTCTCGCCAACAGTGAAGTTCGACGGTGACAAGCTCCCTGCCATTCTCAACGCCATTGAGACCGAGAACGGTGGCCAGAAGCTCGTCCTTGAGGTTTCTGTATGTACACCAAAGATCGAAGCTACAATGACATCAAGCTCTGATAGCTAACCCAATCTAGCAACACTTGGGTGAGAATGTCGTTCGTACCATTGCCATGGACGGTAAGCTTCCTCTGTCTCCCATGACCAGCAAAATAGAGATTTGCTTGGCAATATCAACCTCTTGTCACCGCTTTCTCTATAACCTGGTCCTTCCACGTGTACTCGTCTCGCCGTGGCTAACATCAATCTTTTCACAGGTACTGAGGGTCTGACCCGTGGTGCTGCCGCCCGTGACACCGGTGCTCCCATCACCATCCCCGTCGGTCCCGGCACCCTTGGCCGTATCCTTAACGTCACTGGTGACCCCATTGACGAGCGTGGTCCCGTCAAGGCCGACAAGTTCCGTCCCATTCACACTGAGGCTCCCGAGTTCGTCGAGCAGTCCACTGAGGCCGAGATTCTCGTCACTGGTATCAAGGTCGTCGATCTGCTTGCCCCCTACGCCCGTGGTGGTAAGATTGGTCTCTTCGGTGGTGCCGGTGTCGGTAAGACCGTCTTCATTCAGGAGCTGATTGTAAGTTGCCAATCCATGAAATGGAGATTTTGTGACCCGTACAGAACTAACAAACTCTCTAGAACAACATCGCCAAGGCTCACGGTGGTTACTCCGTCTTCTGTGGTGTCGGTGAGCGTACTCGTGAGGGTAACGATCTGTACCACGAAATGCAGGAGACTGGTGTCATCCAGCTCGAGGGTGACTCCAAGGTCGCTCTGGTCTTCGGTCAGATGAACGAGCCCCCGGGTGCCCGTGCCCGTGTCGCCCTTACCGGTCTGACCATTGCCGAGTACTTCCGTGACGAGGAGGGTCAGGACGTGCTGCTCTTCATTGACAACATTTTCCGTTTCACCCAGGCCGGTTCTGAGGTGTCTGCCCTTCTGGGTCGTATCCCCTCTGCCGTCGGTTACCAGCCCACTCTGGCCGTCGACATGGGTGGTATGCAGGAGCGTATTACCACCACCACCAAGGGTTCCATTACCTCCGTCCAGGCCGTCTACGTCCCTGCTGACGATTTGACTGACCCTGCCCCCGCCACCACCTTCGCTCACTTGGACGCCACCACTGTCTTGTCCCGTGGTATCTCCGAGTTGGGTATCTACCCTGCCGTCGACCCTCTCGACTCCAAGTCCCGTATGCTCGACACCCGTATCGTCGGTGAGGAGCACTACAACACCGCCACCCGTGTCCAGCAGATGCTCCAGGAGTACAAGTCCCTCCAGGATATCATTGCCATTCTGGGTATGGACGAACTGTCTGAGGCTGACAAGCTCACCGTCGAGCGTGCCCGTAAGCTCCAGCGTTTCCTGTCCCAGCCCTTCACCGTCGCCCAGGTCTTCACTGGTATCGAGGGTAAGCTGGTCGACCTCAAGGACACCATCCGCAGTTTCAAGGCCATCATCAACGGTGAGGGTGACGACCTTCCTGAGGGTAAGTTAAAATCTTCTTGATCTTCTAATTGTTGACCAACATGGATGCTAATTTGTTTTTCTACAGCTGCTTTCTACATGGTTGGTGACTTCGAGTCTGCCCGCGCCAAGGGTGAGAAGATCTTGGCCGAGCTCGAGAACAAGGCCTAAATGTAATATTGTTTTTAAGCGCCCTTTTCCTTTTTTGTTAGACATGGACTTCCTTTCTTCCATGTGCCGTTTTCTACCGATCCGTGTACAGTACTCGAATTGAGAAAAGGGAGTTGAAAGAATGGCGAGGTCCCCCCCTATATAAAAGGATGAGAGCGCTCTTAACGTACACCTCTCTGAAAGTCTGGATGGAAACTTCCAGGCTTTGTGTTACACTACGTGCTCATGTAAGTAAGTTAAAATGACCACAGTCAGCCTGATACCCGCTGGGCTGGGACAATTGTACTCAATTTCCTTTGTTACTCCGGGAGACCGTGATATCTGCTTTGTAGACATTAGTAGTAGTATAGTAGTACGTAGGGTGTAGTTCTGTATGATTCTGTATATTAAATCATAACGTCCCTTTCTAGGACACGTATCAACATCTCGTTGCCATAGCATCAACTGTTTCACGTATCTCAACTGCATTGCCCACCATCTCAACAAGTATCATCCTCATGTTAATTCAGCTAGTAGTACTCTTTTTTTTTTGCGCTACAATTTTAGTGAATAGTCAGTAGTAGTAGCCAGCTAGCACGAGTAAGTAGTCCTAAGGTCTGATATATATATATATATTCATATAACGGAATGAAGGGCTGAAGGAACGCAATGGACTCACGGACGGACAGGATGAGCTATCATGGCCAGGTACTAACTATTACTAGTACTAGTAGTCAGAAGTAAGATCGGAATGGAGAGCAACACTACTTAGTGCTTCTTTATAGGTGTTTGTTGCTTTGGGGTTTGAATGGATTTATAGTAGTAGTACCAGTACTCTGCATGGTGCCATGTACTATACTATCATCTATCATTATTACTATTAATGATGATGAGATATAGTAGGTAGTAAGTAGTAGGGACCCGCCAGGGCTACTAGTAGTAGTAGTAAGTACTAGTGCTAGGCAAGTAGTAGTAGTGATGTTATGGTTCGACCGATAGTGTGTGAGAGTGAGAGTGAGAGTGAGAGTGAGAGTGACAGTGAGAGTGAGAGTGAGAGTGAGAGTAACAGTGAGTGGGAGTGGTTAGTTTAGGGTGTGCTTAATGGTACTAGTTTATATAATGAAATTATAAATAAACAACTGAAGTTTCATGGTACAATATCGAAGGAATAAATCACAGAATGGACATTAACAGACGCTATAGACTAACTCAAAACAAAACAATGAGTGGTGCATGTTTATTCACACATATCATTTCCCTAGGATTCATGCTGCAATTGTCTGAATACACTGGCTTTAGCCGAGTGGGGATATCAGGAGAACTACGTGAGGTCGACCTATAGGGTCTCTTCCAAGGCAAGAACCTATGATTTGACATAATTGTTAGCATTTCGTGTCTTAGTAGAATAGACTCAATTGCACTTACCAGTGCTGTTCGCGTTGGGATATAGACCTGCAGATAATTGCTGCGGTTATTCCAAGCCAGGTCTGTCGTGAAGAACCGTGTTTCCTTGAGATTACGACCGAAGCCACCGAACTCCTTATCATCGGTGTCAAGCACGATTCTGTAAGTTCCGGCTTGCTCAACGCCCACTCTGTAGTCTGTGAAGCTGTTTGTAGGATGGAAGTTAAAGATCCAGAGGAGGCCTGCACGTTCAAAGACGAGGACCTTGTCACCCTCGTGCTTCAGGCTGATGTATGCTTGTGGGGAATGGAGCCAGCCGTATTTCTCTTCGGTTAGCTGCATGGCGCGGTCGAAGTCATTCAGGAACTTATAGCGGAGAAGATGGTCTTCCGTTAGGTTTAGTTGGCGACGTGCGTACCAGAACGAATTGTTATTGCCGGCACGAGGGAAGTCGAGCCATTCGGGATGACCGAATTCGTTACCTTCAAAGTTGAGATAACCCTCACCACCGAGAGCATGGGTAACCAGGCGGAGCATCTTGTGAAGTGCCATGCCTCTTTCGATGATAGGTGTCAACTCTGTCAACACGGACATGTGGGTGTACATCTCCTTGTCGCAGAGCCACATCATGATGGTTTTGTCGCCAACAAGCCTGCTATGATTTAGCTGTGGTCAAGTTAAACAATGGAAAAATGAACTTACGCCTGATCATGGCTCTCCGCGTAGGCAATCGTCTTCTCCCCGTGACGTCGGTTGACCAACGTGAAGGAGAGGTTGCCAATGTCCCATTCACTGTCCGACTTCTCTTTCAGGAGCTTGATGTACATGTCTGGAATTGCCATGGCAAGTCGGTAGTCAAATCCAACACCCCCAAGGGCGTGCGGCAAGCACAGTGCAGGCATTCCAGATACATCCTCTGCCACAGTTATGCACTCGGGGTATAGACTGTGGAGCATTTCGTTGGCCAAGGTCAGGTACATCACACCTTCGCCATCTACTGAACCGCCAAAGTATTCGTGATATCCGCCAGAGAATCCTCTAATGTCGAGTTAGTATTGCAACGAAAAGATGTAGGAGACTGATCACGTACGTTCCTATGCCGTGGTGGACATAAAGCATACTTGTAACACCATCAAAACGGAAGCCGTCGAACTTATATTCTTCCATCCAGAAGCGGAGATTGCTCAGGAGGAACCTCAGAACCTCATGGCTGCCGTAGTTGAACAGACGACTGTCCCAGAGGTCATGCTGACCCTTCCCACCGGAGTGGAAGTAGAGATGGTCAGAGCCATCAAACATGTTCAGCCCGTCCAGAACATTCTTGGATGCATGGCTGTGGACGACGTCAAGAAGCACCACTAAGCCCATACTATGTGCTGTATCTACTAGCTCTTTCAGGTCTTCCGGCGTACCATAGCGACTGCTAGCCGCGAAGAAGCTATTGACCTGGTACCCGAAGCTGGCGTAGTAGGCATGTTCCATAATGGCCATGAGTTGAATCGCATTGTACCCCAGATACTTAATGCGAGGTAGCATATTGGCAGTAAATTCTTTGTAAGTTGCGACTCTCGTTTCCGGAGAAGAAATACCCACGTGGGCCTCATAAATACGAAGGCTTTCGGGCCTCTTTGGGCGAGAATGCTTGAATTGATAGCGCTCAGTAGCTGGAGGGTTCCAGAAGACCGACTCATATGTCGGAGACACAGTAAGGTCTTGCACGACACGCTTGATCCATGCAGGGATTCGGTAGATTCGTTCTCCTTCGGGAGTAACCATGGTTATCTGCGAAGCGCAGCGATGTTAAAAGAAATTCGTCCTGCTTAGTTGACTCTATGCACACTCACCTTGATTTTGCTGTCATGAGGGATTACCGGAACCCCATCTTTCGCAGGCAATGTAATCTCCCAGACACCGAAGCTGTTCTTCGTCATCGGGTGGGCCGTGACATCCCAATTGTCTGCCAGTCTCAGTAAAGTTTCACCGGCCGATATCCTCCGCATAGCTAGACGTACTAAAGTCCCCAACTAGCTCAGCTTCAACAGCATTAGGCGCCCATTCTCTGTAAGTGATGTCTCCATTGGCGTTGACATTGAGACCATATCTCTCGTAGCCCTATCGCAAACGTCATGTCAGTTGGTGCTGGTCATTCCAAACAACCCAGTTGAGTAGTGTCAATCATCTCGAACAACAGTAGCAGCAAGAAATGTCACTTACCCTGCTAAATTTGTCCAACCCGCCCTCAGTTTCATTAATCGTCTTGACCCAGCTCTCTACGTACTGGAACCTCTGCTTCAGAGCATCGCGGAAGGGCTCAAGCCAAGGATCAAGCTGGATAACACCTATCGAAACAATTAGACGAAAGAAAAGACAATGACTCTCAAATAAAACCAACTGACCTGTACCATCTGGAGACGCCGATTGAAGGGCAGTTTGAGTTTCGGTAGAAGCCATGGAGAATGGATCGCCAGTGGCAAGAGATTAAGCTCTGGGGAATGTGGACCGTAGGGATAGAATAGATAATAGTACAACAAACAAGAGAGGAATCTAGTTAACAGCGTCAAAACAAGTTGAGCTCCTGAGAAGAATAAACAGGACGAGAGGTGGGGAATCCCAACCGATGGGAAAAAGTAGTAGGAGGAGGAGGAGGTGGTGGTGGTGGTTGAGGCCATGCGGGGGAGAGTCGAGGCCAAAGCTCCTCTTTCTTCCCTGTTGGTTTGCTGGTTTGCTGCTGCTACCCTTCCCGCCGTGACATCACTGCAACACCCCTGCTTCTAGACCTGGTCTGCCCAGCCCCCCTCCTCCCTCCTTTCATTCTTTTGTTGTCGCGCGCGCCGAATTTCTCAACTTTGGATAACAACTCATCGAATCCATTGATATGAGATGCTGATTCACAGCCCTTGTTAGTATACTATTAGTTTTGGATGGTGTATATATCCATGTTTCATTGTGTTGTGATAACGCGACAGGAGGAAGCTGAGCTTTGACTTCAGGTACGGAAACAGGTACCCGCCCTGCGCAGCAACTCGGGGTTCAAGGGGTCTGAGGGCCGGTCAGAACACTCGCGAGGCTTTACGATAGCCACAGGCCACTTAAATACGCAGTGCGACAATATGTTTACAATAAGGCTTAAAGCAACATCATTTGAGGAGAAAATTAAAGTCACTATGTTACAAAAAGCTTGCACAGCAGCTGTTGAGAATTGAGCTACATGCTAAGGTACTAAAATGCCCTCTACCATGAACTTCCACTAAGAATCAAGCTATGGGATGCGCAGCCTTCAGCATAATCCGGATTATAGAAGGTCCGGCTTTACACGTAGCAGACTTCCTGTCCACCCTGCTCGCCCTGTTCACCCTGTCCACTCTGCTCGCCCTGCTGGCCCTTCTGGCCGAATCCAGAAGCTCCGCTGGGGCCCTGGGGAGAGTTTCCAGCACCGCTGGGGGCAGCAAAGCTGGGAGCGGAGGTAGTGGATCCCTCCTGGGCACCCACAGCCGGGCTGGGGGCGACGGCAGCAGCGCTCGTAACAACGGCGGAAGTGGCAGCGGGGATGCTCTCGCTAGGGGCGACAGCGCTGGGCACAGAAGCAGCAACGGAAACGACGCTGCTAGAGACAGTGGCATGGCTGGCAAGGGAAGAAGCAGCGGCAGTAGAAGCGCTGTCGGCCATCAGAGCACTGTAGGGAGTGGCACCCGGGTAGAAAGAGGTGGGGATGGTCGGGATGGGGATAGAAACAGTAGAGCCGAAGTCAGTAGTCAGATCGGCCGCCATGGAGGTGGCAGAGTAGCCCGAGGGAGCGGAGTCGACCGTGGAAGTGGTTGCCGAGTAGGAGACGTGGTCGTCGCTGTCCTGAAGGCAGAATCCGCTGCCATAGGCACTCTCACAAGAGTACCACTGAGAATCACCCTCCTCGGTCCACATGGCGAAGTCCTCGATGGTAATGTCGTAGCAAGGGGCACCATCGGCACAGATCACCTTGATAGGACCACGCTCAGCACCGTAAGCTTCGGTTCCCTTCCAGTTCTTGACAGTGATGTTGCTCAACTGAACACCATCGCCGTCCACTGCGCTCATACTGGCCCAGTAGCTGTCGATATCCAGGGAGTAAGCGTTGCCGTGGCCTGTTTACAGACAGAAATAACTCTCAGTTAGCCTCATCGGGGGACACATGATGTTGCGTAAGATATTACTCACCAATGAAGTTCTCGAGGAGGACATTCTCGACGAAGCCGCTACCTCCGTTGCTCTTAATCAACATCATGTTGTTCGAGCTCCAGGTGTAAATGTTGCGGTAAGTGATGTCGCTAACATTGGTATCAGAGCCAAACGAACCCATACCACAGCCACCACTCCAGTTGCAGTAGATGCTTTCAATAAGGATGTTCTTCGACGGACTCTATAATTGACGGTTAGTTTAAGACTTCCTGACGGGACACAAATCGCCGGGATGACCATACCTTGACAGTGACACACTCGTCCTTGTTCGTCACCTCGACCTATTGAAATAGTTAACGACCTGCATGCATGCAGGCAACATTCATGTTCTTCAGTACTCACATCATGGACCCAGATATTGTTACTCCAAACATCAATACCATCCAGACCACCGTGGTTACCGCCGCGGATTGCCATGTTGTAAATTTCGCCATTGGTGCAGGTGTCGAGAGAAAAGTGGAACGAGGGGGAGTCAACCAGGATGAAATCGTGGACCGAGAAGTCTGTAACCTCATATAAACGCAGCAGACGAGGGCCGCTCCAGTTATCATCAGCATGGAGCTCGTAGCCCAGACCCTGCATGGCACCTTCGGAGGTGCTACTGAAAAGTTCGAAGTCGCTAGAGTGCTCGATATATATCATGTTGCCGCTGTCCGTGCCAGTACGGTAGATAATTCCATCAATCTGCAGAGCCCATGCCTCACCACCGCTCAATCTCGCCCAGGTGGAGAGAGCATAGTCACCAGAGGGGACATAGACGAGACCACCAGACTTGCAGTCAGCAAAGGCAGATGCCAATGGCGCACCCAAATCAGTAGACTTATCCGCCACAGCACCGTAGTCCAAAACGTTGCAAGTCTTGGTAGCTGCCTTGGTGGACGCGGAAGTCAGTGGTCCCACGGAACCGGAGAGCTGCGCAGCAGCAAAGATGGGCGCCAGGCCCAGGAAAGAGAGAAAAGAGCGCTTGTCGAGAAGCATGGTGCTTCGTCGAGCTTGATAAGAAAGAAAGGAATGTGAGGTTACAAAAAAAAGAGTGAAAGGAAGTGAGTCTAAACACCCCTAAAGAATGAACATTGAGTTATCCAACGAACTATGCCCACAGCAGGGATTCCCAGGCGCTCTCTTTATAGATAAAAGCTATTCAAGCGCCCTCTAACAGTAGTCTATTTTCCGCTGTCATCTTTCTATTTCTAGAACGTTTTGCCGGTGCCATACCGGCAACCTCTGACACGACAAGATTGAACTAGACGAAGCTATCGATACTATTGCTGGAACCCTTGAAGTAGTTTTCCTGAATGTGGAAGTAGTGGCACAATCCAAAACATCGAAAGAGCGGGATCGATGCGCTATCTCCCGGTTGAGACTTGCTCCATGCTTAGGGTGTTTGTCTTAGATAATTTGAAAGGAGCATTGGCCCCGCCCATAGACTCAAATAGATTGAAGGGCTTAAGGAGGCATCGATACTGGACAGTTGACTCCTGATCGGATTACTGGGCAAGACTTGAGAGAGTATCGTAAGCGGAAGATACGAGAGTCCTTTGATGGTCCCAACTGATAGCAGACGACTCAGCGTTTATTGTGCAATCAAAATGGAAGAATCCTTTACCACTTGCTAGACAGAAAAATTTCGAGCTTCCATAGAGATTGCTGGGAACTTCCCCTTCTCCTATCTCAACGGAGGGTGGAGCTTCAATCTGAAACGCCCGAGGTCAAGACTAGGCCGGTGGCCCATAGACTGATCAGGGGATTGGGCGGAGACTCTCAACCGGCGCATAAGCTCTTGATCAGGGTCTGCCGTGCATGCTAAATTGCAATATACTCTAGGTGACTCCCGTTCGGATTTCTAAGAGATGAATTAAGCCAGCCGAGTGATTGCCAGGCCCAATGGCCCAATGCTAGATGGTACAGGTGTAGCCTTGTGGTTATAGAGAGGAAATGAGGAGGATGCTGACCCTGCCGAGTGGTGGACTCGGCGCTAGTAAGCCCGTGCTTGCCGACCGGACTTAGTTGCCTCTTCGGAATGTCGCCGGCCAAACTCAGCGGTTACATCTGAATCCTCCTCTGTCCAGTCAGGACCAGTGGCTATTACGATCGGGATTTAAATCGCTAAGAGGCCAAGCATAAGAACACAACTTGTTTTCACCGATTCATGAAGCTCTATGATTAAATATATAGCCATGTCTGCCCGCCTCGCAACAACATTCGACATTTCAGGGCGAAAATGAGTAGTAATATACAATGAGGTTCTCGTTGCTATTCATTGCCGGCATTCAAACCAGGCCGACTCCTCAGAAAGAGAGTATATGCAAACCTGATGTGAAGGACATCACTGCAGACCACCGTGACCGCGCACCCTGAAAGATGAACAATTAGCACTGGCACCTTCATCGGGTAACTACACAACGGAGAGCACTCACAATTTACATTTACAGATTCTGACCGAGAGTCGCGACAACGCTGCCAACAGAAGTGCCAAGGGAGGGGAGGCCAAGGCCAGTGAGAAGAGAGGCGACGTCAGAAGACAGCTTAATGAGGAGGTAAGAGCCATCCTGGCCGACGACGGTCAGAAGCTGCTCAACGGGAGTAGAGATGTCCTTGAGAAGGTCGCCAACGCTGCCGGCAGTCTTGATGATCTGACCAACGGAGGTTCCAACGGTGGGGAGGTCAAGGCTGGAGAGGAGGGAGGCGACGGAGGGGCTGAGCTGGACGAGCAGGCGCTTGGAGTCGGAGCCGGTAACTTCGAGGACATCCTTGACCTTGGGAGCAAGGTCCTGAACGATCTCTCCATCGGCCGAGCGCTTGAGGTTCTCGCCAAGAGTGCCGACAATGGAGCCGACGGGGACACCAAGCTCCGGGAGTCCAAGACCGCTGAGAAGACCAGTTACCACGGGGTCGAGCTGGATCAGAAGAGCCCTGCCGTCCTTATCGACAACAGTGAGGAGGCCGTCGACGACATTGCCGACATCCTTGAGAAGGTCGCCAACGGACGCAGCGGTCTTGATAATGGAACCCACAGAGGATCCAAGGCCAGGCAGACCCAGGCCGGACAGGAGCTTAGCAACCTCGGGGCTGAGTTGGACGAGGAGCTTCTTGGCGTCGGCGCCAGTAACAGTCAGGACCTGGTTGACACCATTGCCAGCATCCTGAACAATGTGGCCGGTAGCCCCAGCACTAGCACTGGCACTGGGGGTGGAAATCACGTTGCTGGAGACGGAACCAATGTTCACAGTCTTGGTGACCTCAGAGACTCCAGGAACACCACCGGTAGGGGCGGCAAGGGCCGAGGTGGCCAGAGCAGCAAGAAGAGTGATAAAGGAGGCCTTCATTGTGCTTGAGGGTATTTGATAAAGGAGATTGGAAGGGAGAGAATAAATTTCGGTATGTCCTTGTGGGTTTTGGTAAGGAATGACTGTAGTGGGCTTTGGTAAAGAACGAATGATGTGCTGCTGATGAGAAGAAAGAGGAATACTCGAGACGAAGAGGCTTGCTCTTATATCCCATCGTCGCTCAAGTGATCATCATAGTTACCTATCCTTTTGAGACCCTTAGCAGTTGGGACGTATAGCAACTAGCTGGCGGGTCAACTCTATGTGCTAGGGTGTAATAGCACTTGTAAGGATAGCAAGGGCGTATGCGTGATGGATGCAGCGTTGCTGGGTTGTGGAGACAGCTACGAGCTTGGTCAACGTTCGATTGTCCCTTCAAGCCATGCAAACCGCATGGCGACGATCAGGCGTATACAGTAGTACCATGTACGATCATGTGGGTTCCACTGTTGTTTTGTGGGCCTGCAGCTAAGCAGTTTAGATTTTGCTATTGGAATTGCCATGCTGTAGCTGGACTTACTGTCGCTATTTCCCGATGCCCGTCGAATGAATATCACCGGCAAGGCAGTGAGCCACACGAGCCGTGAACGTTGTCCGTCCAATCGGCAGCCACCCTGATCCGCTGATTGGCGTTGAAGGAGCATAAAGCCACCGGGACATTTATCGCCACCGCCATAAGGATCTGCAGCCTCATCTTACTAGTAGTATTTACTTACTGTGACCTATGCATTGCTGTTAGCCTTCTATACCCAGTAATAGTATACATACTATTGGTACTCGCTCTCACTAACGATGTTGAAATGTGAGCACGTCATGTCTGAGATCATGCCGGGTCCCTGTCGATCCAAACCTCTCACGGAACAGTTATAAAGGGGAGAGATTCGATGGTAAAAAGTTATATTGCTTTTCTCTGCGTGCGTTTGTTTTTCCCATCGCGTACGACTATTTGCAGTCTATCTTGGTTAAGGTCACAACGGCCATGCATATTTGCATGCATGTATGCAGGCGAGTCGGTGGCCAGCCAAGTGCAAACATAAATTCGACGCCGGGGATATGCAATCTTACCGCTAGTGAGATGACCTGAATTCCACAATACTTCCATTTTTAGCCATTGGAATTTATTCGCTAAGGATTTCTCAAAGTGTCTTTGAGTGCCCCGCATGCAACACATGGTGGGAATAGTAGGTCTTACCTGGTAGTGTACAATTGCGCAAGAACTATGGCCTTTACCTCTCAGAAGCTGCAGTAGGCTGTAGCGACTCATCCGAGCACGGCCACTATGATAGAAGTTTTTCAAATTGGCAATTGCATCTTGGGGGCGCAGATGGTACTGCAACTGTACATGCATCCGTACCACCGATCGTCAAGTTGATTAACTTTACTAGTGGCTCGATTCTATAGGAATTTGAGTTTGCCCTCCCGCTGTAGTGGTTTCCGGAAACGCATTTCATTTGTGAATCTTGCCGATAAACGCGAGATGGAGACATGCCGTGTGGGCTTCATACGTATTCTGTGGTGATGTATGGCTGCATGGAGTCAGGGACACAGTGGCTGGTGATGACGCGAACACATAGTGCACTACTTAGAATAGAATTAGTTTCCGAACGCAGGGAGTGAACTTCATTTGTCGAGTCCCGCACATGCAACAAGCAGGTCGAAGCTGAGGATCTTGGTAGCCAGCCTCAATTTGTCAATGTAGTCAGGGGAGGTCAACCGAGCGAGCTGTTATGGAATGTTTCTTCCGGGAGATGATTCCATATAGTCCCTGGATAGGCTGGTTAGCCAGCCCACCACGTGGAACCCGTTCCTGAGATGGCAGCAGACTTCCTAAACAAGAGGGGTTTGCCACTCAGGTACACAACGGGAAAATCCAACTGTGTACCGTGATCAACAAGGTCTAAGGAGAAGTGACGGCCCATCTGGTGGAGGTTGGGCGATCGTTGCTTGGTTTCGCATGTCGCAACTTGCAAGACCATAGGGAAGATACACAGATATTACGCTAGACGATACACCGGATACTTCCCCGTTGGTGGCAAGTTAGCGTAAGGAGAACGTCCCTGTGGGGCCCACTATTGTATGCATACTGTATTGCCGGGGAATAAGTCCTAGCTTCCCCCTTTCGGTAGGTAGTAGATAGACCCGACTGTATGCCTTCAGTTCAACTGTTGATGCAAATAGTCCTGGCCTTGATCCCTGGTACTCGCAGAACCTTATGGTACCTCACTCACCCACCTCAATTGTGCCCAATCCACTTTCACGAGCACAGATGGCTCGTACCTCTTCCGTCTCGTCCCGCGACCTTTGAGAACACTGTCATCGAAATAACGATCAACGCGATCGTCAACATGGGTTTACTGTTCTTGCCTACTGACTGAGGGCCAGATAAGCCTGTTTCGACGTCTAGTGACTTACGGAGTACATTTCCAGCGGTTTCAGGTTTTACGGGGATGCACAGACACTACATCACCTCCCCCTTTGATTATGGAGCCTCGAACATCCTCATCTCAGTAAATGTCCCCTGAGCTGCTATGGCTAGGAGAATGCCTAGGGTGGAGCTTTCCCGGGTACTGACGGATATGTTCATCGGTATCGTTAGGTCGAATACATACACTCTGAAGCGGGAACCTGCGCATGCGCGACTTTTCTCTAGGA